TTTGTTCTGATGATCGCTTTGATGTTATCAATGTATTTTTCAATTATAACGTCATTAATGTGAATGCTATCATGATCGTTTTTGTTTATGCAGGTTGTGGTTGAGTTTTCCTCATTACAATTTGCGTTTAATACGCTTTTGTTGATGTCATTGTTTATGTAATGACCTTCAAATTTATTTGCATGGACAGCAGACTCATCACGTGATGATGTCATTCCATCATCAGTAATGACGTCATTTCCTACTTGATGATGATTGTGGTGATGATGAGCATTGTTTACATTCTTGTCAGGCAGACTCACATGACGGTGATTAACACAAACAGACGTTTTTTCAAAAACCTGAAAGTTCTTGGCAGATTTGTTTTTGATGTCATAATTGGGGTTGACATCGCTGGTATTCATGATATCTTCTGTGCAGTTGTTGATGTTGTTGCGGTAGTTGCTGTTGTTGCTGTTGTTTTTGTTTGTAATTTTAGCGTTGCAATTGTTGCAAGTGTTGCATCGACTGTTATTCAAGTTGCAGAACTCTTTTGTGACAAGAAATTTATCACGAGTGCATGAGTTATGCGTAAGGGCGTTCAAGCCGTCGATAAATTGGCTACGTCGCTTGTTTTGTTGATTGTCGTTGCAGCAGCAGCAGCAGTTGTTTCTGAAATCCTTGTAATGTGTTCGTTGACGTTCTTATCTTCATTGGTTTTATAACATTCCTTGCAAATAAAGACGTTGTGGTAATTTTTGTTGGTTGAAAGAGTTTCTGTGTTAGTGGCATTGGGGTTCATTCCAGTGGAAGTTAGCAGATCACATTTGTTGGCTACGAACCCTATCAGTGTGTCATCCATGTCCTCTGCTTTTTGCTTCTGGAAAATAATGATGTTTGAGAAGATTGTAGCGTTGTTGCGTACAATTGCTGCTGAAGTTCGTTGCTACTTGTTAAATCCAAAACCAAAAATTTGTACCAACGTACGTTCTGACCTAAGGCTAACCCGAAGATTTCAATCTGTCGTGCGTCATAATCATTCAAAACTTTCCATCGCGCCAGAATGGTTGGTGTCTTAATCGTAGGATTACAAACATTTTAATGAGGTTAGGCTAAGGATTTGAAAAGCATGACACATTTTAATTCTGGATACATATCCGGTTTGAAATGTTGTTGTTTAGCGTTGTCATCCTATATATGTAGGTTACTGTTGTTTTGGTATCATGTTAAAAACTTCTTGTATTGTATGTTATATGTTTCAAGCGATTGCACTCATTCGCACTGAGTATTACACATTATATTTCATCCAGGCTGGTTGGGAAGTTTTTGGGCTGATTTCGTTTTATAAACTTCTTTTTCGCTGTTAATTTTTGTTAGCATACTTGTTTCGTTGTTAACATTAGCTGTAAATACTCTTTTTATTTGTTTTTTATGTTGATTATGTTCATCTGTTTTTTGATTTGTTCATTCGTTTGTTTGTCTGTTTGTTTGTTTGCTTGTTTTTTGTTCTTTAGTTCGTTCGTTTGCTGCAAACGCTGTTTTCAATTTATGCCAGTATTTGTTTATGTCTGTGTTTATAAATGCTGTTTTGTTTGTTGTAAGCTTTGCTGCTTTGTTTATGTTTGCTCTAAAGAATATTGCGTGTGCTGACAACGGTGTTGTTTTATTACATGCCACCTTCTTGTCTTGTGCGGAACTTTTTGTGTGGTGTGGCGTGGCGTGGTGTTGCATGGTGTGGTGATGCATGGTAGCTTCTTGCATTATTCCCAGTCTAACTCTACCAACTCTGCCATAGTTCATTGCGCTGTGAATGTATTTTTTTTATAATGGCTTTCTTTCTTGTGTTTGTCCGTTATAATCTGTTGTAATAATTTGTGATGTGTTATATTTCAGTGTGTTATTTCACAACGATGTTGTTTTAAATTTGCAATCTTTACTTGGCAGTGTTGAATGGTTTTGGGATTGCTATAAATAGCAACAAAGCTTCGCCCATTACTTAATCTGAGTTTTGCAGTTATGTATGACAACTTGTCAAAAAACATAAATATGTACATCAAAAGATAACCAAAACAACAATAAAACAATAAAAAGTAAACATCAAAACATAACCAAAACAACAATAAAACAATAAAAAGTAAACAACAAAACATAAACAACAACATAAACAATATCACATGAAAAACTCATTCAAAATGTCAAGAGTCACCTCCTTCAAAGAAACAAATCATGATGTACACAAGGAATCCATTACGCTGGACAAACATCAAAACGCTGAACACACGTTATAGGAAAAAACTCACTTCAGACAAATCAACATGGAAGAATAATTAACAAAACGGGACACAAACATATAAAACACACACATACTCACACACACACCTACACACACACACACACACACACACACGCAGATTTTTACATACACACCACAAAAACATCGGTACGCATACGCTAAATAGCCGAGTCGTTGTAAAAAAAAATTATTGATAATCAAATCTTTACTCTCAATCAAAATTTCAAATTTCAGTTGAAATTATGTATTCAAAATTAATAAAAATTGATGCACATGCATATATACTTATGTGTTTGTGTGTATGTTGGTGTTTGTTTGCATGTGGGTGCGTGTGTGTATCTGCTAATTTGAGTGCACGTGTGGATATGTATGCTTAAAATTTTCAAGACGTACACACCACATGTGGCGTACCTCCACACCCAGCCCAAGTTCATTTTAAACTGCCTGTCAAGTCATCTCACGTTATATCACGTGATCTTTATAACCATAATTAACCCATACATCGCTATCCTCTCTTTCTTTCTCTTTCTCACTTTTCATCACTATCTCTATCAAAATATTTGCTCATTTTTCCCCATTCATTAAATTTTTGTTGTTTGTGCGAAAAATTCCTGTTGAATTGTTAAAGTTTCTATAACGTGTGTGTGTGTGCGTGCGTGTGTGTGTTTATGTGTTTGAATGTGTCGTAATCATTGTTATAGTCATCAACATATTAATTATTATGATCATTTAAACATCACCAACGTAACCATCAACACCATCTGAATTATCCTTAAAATCCTTATAATAAGCTGTATTATTATTATTATTATTATTATTATTATTATTATTGTTGTTGTTATTATTATTACTACTACTATTATTATTATACTTAATCATCTTCATCTTCTCAACACACCTTTAAAACTTCCAGCCATCGTTCAACACTTTCAAAGGACTTGCCACTTGTGACGTCAAACATGATGATGACGCAATCGACCTTCCTCAAATATTCGTTGTTAACGTTTCGAAATCTGTAAAATTGTAGTAGTGGTCGTCTGTCTATTGTGCCTATCGTGTTACTTGTGTTGTTGTTGTTGCTGTTGTTACGTTTAAATTTCGTGATTTATGAGCGGGTGTTTACGTTTCTATGGTCTTCTGTATGTGTACACAACACGTGCATGCATATATGTAAATGTTTATGTGGATGTTGATGCAGATGTTTATATGCATGTTCACAGAGCTAATGTTCATCCGGATGTATTTACGTTTGTAAATAAATATTTATGAGTGACACGCAGTTGCACAGCGTTTTCTTCCTGAATACATGCTCGTTTATATTCATGCGTCAGATTTATGCCACAATCTGCATTTTATAACGTGTTTATCTGATATTTGTTTATAGGACTGCGCTGGCATTGGTGAAAATAATTTTAAGTAAACGCGTTAGTGTTTACTTAAAATTCGCATACAATGCAGTCATCATTCTTTTTTATTTTTTCAAGTTCAGACGTATTTGGGTTTGTACCTTTATTTATGCACCAGGATGTAGAGAAAGTTTATCAGATAGAAACCTCGACGAATACATTTGCTTGTGGGTTTGAACGTTTGTTTGTTTGTTTGGAACAAATTCCGAGGTTCGTTAACGTGATCGAAGACATACATTTTTTAACTAGTTCAAAGTAAGATTGCTTTTATTTAAATTGTTATTGTCTGGTAGAAAAAGAAATGCTCATCAGTTCCACGCATGCGAACATGTCCAGGTATCAAGAAAGTAATGTGAAGATGTTATGGAGATGTTATGGAGAAGGGTTGACCAGTGTACATAACGAACTCATCGGCATCAATTTTAATACAGTGTGTATATGTATACATACAGTGGCGGATCTAGACAACTTTGACGGATGGAGGCCAAAAATTTGGAAAATGTTCAAATTTTTTTGGAGGTAGTGTAAAGTGTGGTTGACAATCTTTTTATTGCTCATTGCGTCAAATTTTTGGTCAATTTCCCGCCTAAAACGGTCCTTTTTTACAAAAAAAAACTGCTCACAAAAGGGGGACCATAGATCTGCCCCTGTATACATACATATTGCATTACGTTACATGTTTATATGTGTAATAAATAGACAGATGTGTGTTTTTATGTATATTTATTCATTGATGTCTACCATGTGATTGAATACATACATAGATTGATATATGTTTGATTTTAACTGATAATTCCACAACATCATCGTTTTGATGATGAGGACAGGTCGGTGATTGTGGCGTTAACGACTACAGCAGAAATTGAAGAGATACAAAGGAGTTCTACATCACGAACAAGAACAGTGGCATATTAATAATTCAAAAAAGGCTTCAGATAATACTAACTTATCATAAGAAAATACATATTTTTTATTATTTTATTTTTATATTATATTTCCATTATTATTATATTGCCTTATGCAATTCAAACTAAATTGCAAGCAGGTATTGTTGTGTGAAACATAGACAAGTGAAACAAATTGATTTAAATTAAACTTATCTCCATTTAATTCAATTTACATTTTTCTATAAAAAAAATGCAAAGAATGTTGAAATCGAACATTAACAGCTTATTAAACCATGATCATGCCCTTCAATATTTAATTGAAAATTCTATTCTGCTTTTTTTATTAAAATTTATTTTTTATTAATTGTAATCTGATGTTTTAATAAATTGTAAATTGAGACTGAAGAATTTTTCTCTAATTTTAACGAGAACTTTCCACATTGTATTTTGTATTTTACTACTTGAATATCAAATACAACAGCCTAATATATTTTGCAGGAAGATGTTCCTCAAGAGGATGAAGATCAACATTTATCGAACAAACGAACAAACAAACAAATATGATTCATCACGTGCATGTTCACTCGCGCTCGTGCGTCTGTTTTTCAATGTTCGTTCATTCAATGTTCGTTCACCAATGTTTCAATCTTTGTTTGGAAATGATTCCACGTTTCTTCGCGTTTATTTATGTGTGTGTGCATGCGTGTGTGCATGCGTGCGTGCGTGTGTGTGTGCGTGCGTATGTGTGTGTATATGTGCGCGTATGTGCTTCAGAAATTAAACTCTCAAAATTTTTTTTTGTTTGAAAAATAATATGTTTTCAAAACATATTTTGGCATTTCTGTAAACAGTCTAAATTTAAAACTTACTTTCTAAAAATAACAGATTGGTCAAATGAATAATAGCTTGATTGAATTGATTGAGTGATTGATTGATTGATTCAGACTGAACAAACGAACGAACTGTTCTATCAAACTTTCCTGAGAAGCGTGGTCCCACATAAGAAAAGTGATTAATTGATTGTCCAGTTGCATTGATTTCAACTTCATGGACATGCCTGCCAGTGTAATGTGGTTTGAAATGGCCAATCAATCATAAGCACTTCACGTCATATTCTATCGCAAGTGTGAAATGAAATTTGCGAAATTAAAATTTGCAACCGGCGGATAAAAAATGAATTGGCACAACAACAACACAAAAAAAACTTGAATACGGTTTGTGTACATGTACTGTACACGTTATACCATGAATGTATGTATAATGTAAACAATAAATGTTAGTAAAATAATATCTACAACATCATGTAGGTGTAAGAACCCTTTTTTTACAACAAAGTGATTTATTGAAATGGTTGAAACGACAGTTTACAAATGGAATGGGAATGAAATAACGAGCGTCGTAAAGCAAAGAGCGAAAAGGGAATTACCCACATACCCATACACAAAACACTTTTTTAGTTAGTTACGTATGTTGGAAATAATAACAATTATAACTTCACTAAATTAAGAGATGGGAAATTTTACAGTTGTGAAAATTGATTAAACAGTCGGTCATCGTCGTAACCAATATTTGTTTCTAACTTTAATTTCAAATACTTATTTATGACAAAGGTATAATAATACTTGTTTAATTAAATTGTAGTATTTACATAAAGCTTCGTAGTTAGCTAGTGAATTGAATATTGTTCTTAAAACCTACAAACCAGCAGTTGACTTGCATCTATCTCCAGGAAATACATTTGTCGCAGTATCTTTGTATGAATGAAGTTTTCCCGACACCAGCATCACCCAGGAGTAAGATTTGGAAATATAATCTCTCGCACATATTTTCGTTTTGTTCACAAGGTGTCATTTCCAAAACACAACTTTCATAAGATGTTTCTTCGCGGTCGTTTACAGAGTTAAGGCTGTCCTGTGGTAAAAATATAACGTAAAAACGTGCCACAGCAATGTGCGGAAACTTAAATTATTACATGCATTTCATCATTTCATGCTCTTCTATTCAGCTGTCAATTCATAACATACAATAAAAATATGATGTTGCTTAATTCTACTGTTGCATTGACCTGGTTCGAGATCACACGCTATCTTTCACATGCAAATCGAAGTTAATGGAAAGTGGTGACGTTGCAAATTAATTTTACGCCGTCACACAAAATTGCAGCTATCCATAGATTTGAAGAGCTGGTTTAAAAAATAAAAAAAATAAGAAATATAAATTTACGAATGCAGAAAAATTAAACGAAGGAAGAAAACTAACGTCTGCAGCTGAATGATCAACTGCTGCTGGTTCATTCGTTACATCCTCTTCGGCGTCAAAACCATCCGACGTTCCCATTCTGGGCAGGTCATACTTAATAGTTGCCATATCCTTTCTTTGAAAAAATTTAGAGACAATCATCTTGTATGATGTCATTAAAACAAGGAACACATCGGTCAGTGCATGGTTCACCGACTGAAAGAGTGGCCACGCGAAGTACTTCGAAAGATTTACAAGTGTGCCGCCAAACCATTCCAACCAACTCATGACTGCTGGAACTGTATTCAACCACCGGCAAGTAAGATTAACTTTTAAATGTTAACTCTTGTTGGCATCGACAAAAACTTAGAACTCGATTTACGATCATTCGAGTAATTTATTTCTTTTTAGCACAAGACTGACATGGTAGATATTAATTAAACAGAAGCGATAACTAAACGTCCTGTACGAAATAAAACATGCTCGGAACGAATGAATTAAGTTTTGATCTCATACATCACCATAGCATCGAATTTAATTAAATCAAACACCGTACCTTACCTAATACGTACGTCAGCGAGCAACTTATTCATTGTACAAGTATTAGAACGAATTATACAGTGAGGTGATACAAAACTATTTTAGAACATATTCAACTAGGCATAGGCGGCGTTAGGAGTAATACACATTCATCAGTGAACGAGCAGATGCAGCGACGTACGAGAAATTAAATTAAAAAGATGATTAACATACTTTTTAATAACAATCAGAAAATGGAAAAAACGTATAGGAGAGCAAAATAATGAATGCAAAAATAATTATTAATAAATTAATTAATTAACCTCAATCAAAAATAAATGAATGAATAAAACTGTTAAGGAAACTGGAAAGACAAACAAAAATTGATCAGCGATAACTCAAAACATTCGGCGATATGAACAAATGAAAATCAACATTTAAATGTGTAAATAACTAGCGTCAAGCATTAAAAAGTTGAACAATATATGCTAGCATGAACACGAGATTTGATTCAACTAAAATTTAATTGAATTTAATTATTAAATCAATATAATGATATAATTTTTATTTATTTACCTTCATGAATACACAGAAATACATGCAAAAACATACATGCCCAAACATACACACGCGCGCTCGCACACACATACATACACTGGTAAACATTCACACACATACACCGATAAACTTTGTGTGGAGGATAACATGTATGATCGTATCATATAATTGTACCGAAGGCATGCTGGTATGATGGTTAAGATATGACACTCTTCCTCTTTCTCTTTCTCTCTCTCTCTCTCTCTATATATATATATATATACATGCATTAATTAGAATTGAGATTGTCTTACAAACAATTATTAAAAAATTTACAGCTTTGATTGATAAATCTAACGCAATTATTTATAAAGATCACTGCGTTTTCGGCATTATTCAACTTGTAGTTGAGTTTCTCAATTTTTCTAACGAGAGTTTTATCGTCGT